TGAGTGCTTATAATGTATCTGCTTTTTTTGGACTTTGGCCTGAGACTGCATACCAATTTTCACAGAATCACAGAATGGCTGAGGTTGGAAGGGACCTTTAGAGACCATCTAGTCCAACCCTCCTGCTCAAGCAGGGTCACCTAGAACATGCTGCCCGCGACCCTGTCCAGACGGCTTTTGAATATCTCCAAAGAAGGAGACTCCACAGCCTCTCTGGGCAACTTGTTCCAGTCCCTAGTCACCCTCACAGTAAAAAAGTTTGTTCTTATGTTCAGGCAGAACTTCCTGTGTTTCAGTTTGTGCCTGTTGCCTCTTGTCCTGTAACTGGGCATCTCTGAAAAGAGTCTGGCCTCATCCTCTTTACACCCTCCGTCCACATATTTAAATGTATTGATAAGACTCCCCCTCAGTCTTCTCCTCTGCAGCCTGAACAGTCCCAGCTCTCTCAGCCTTTCCTCATGTGAGAGATCCTCTGGTCCCTTAATTGTCTTAGTAGCCCTTCTCTGGACTCAAAGATTTTATGTCCTTACTTTTTGGTGTGCTCAGCAGTCTTGGTCTCCGCTCATATTGGTGCAGGTATTTCTCCTGCCTCATTGATGGTGATCCTGTAGAGCTGACTGAAAGATGGGGAAATATAAGGTATGGGTGGGGGGGGGTGCCTTGTGTATTATTTGCAGCTGCAGGTGAAGAAAAGCGTGAGGTAAAGTCATTTCCTGATAATGTGATTCTGTTTCTTTCTCTTTAGCTCGAGGGAGGCTGGAAGGGAATGCACAGAAGCTGGATTTTACCTCTGGCCCCCTGGACCCAATTCCTAACCCATATTCCACTTTGGACAGTGCCCGCCAGGTCCAGCCAGCCCCTCGCATTCGCCCCAGTGGAAAGGACATTCTGGAAAAGGGGCAGAAGGGAATGGTCAGTCTCTTACTGCAGCTCGAAGGGATCTCCCTTGACAGGGGCCTGCCAGTGAAGAGTAAGTACCGCTGAATTGTTGCTGATGTGGTTCTTGCTCAGGCCCAGGCATGAAGCTTCAGGGGTCTGGGTGGATTCCTCCCCTCTGCTGCCCCAGATGTGGGAGAGCCCGAGCTTCACAGGGCTGGCCACTAAATCTCCTGTGTTTGGTCTGCCTGTATGTGGGCTGGCAGTGATGTCCCTGGGCCATTGCCCATTCTGGAGCGGTTGCTGCTGTGGCCTCCCTGACTCCAATCTGGCCCAGGTCTGCAGTTGAAAGCAGGACAGTGAAAAAGACACTGTTTAATTTGGATTGAGGACTAGTCATGGATTAGAGACTATTTAGAGATGCTGGAAAGAAATCAAGCCCTTCTACTTTGCTGCCTCTGAATATGACCAGTATCATTTTAGTCAAACTTAAATTAGGATTTCACTTGATCCATCTTTATAGAGTGTGTTTAACCTGGGGAATTCCTTGCTTCTGAGGCCAGGCAGGATTCAGGAAAACAGTCTATGTATGTGGATAGTGAGAACAGTGGAGGGAAGTATTTGCAAAAGACACTCCCTTCCCTGAGGAAGTCACCTAGAGCAAATAGGGAGGTCCAAAAAGAAGAGAGGAAGCCTAATACTGGCTGTCACTTAAGTTGCCTACTATGCTGATACTGACCCTGGCCCTATCAGGTGAATGTCAGCGAGTGGCTACCACAACTGCTGTGCCAAAGCAGAAGGGGAATGGAAGAGGGTCTAGTTGAGTCAGCTGTCTTCCCTGTCTTGGGGAGCCCAAGGAGGGATCAGTTTTGTCGCTTGAATCAAAACCAAAAAATATGCTCCAAACTCTTGATGATGTTTCCTAGAACAACAGCTGGCCCAGAACCTGAAACCTGGAGCGGTGCTGGTTCAAGACTCTGTGGCCGCTGTTAATCAGCATTCCCTTCCGTGCCCAAAAGACCTGTTGGTCTTGTCCCCATCTCAGATGCCAGGGAGAGCTGGACACCTTTCTCTTCTTGTGAAGCAGAGTTGGTTTTATTAGGTTCAGAAACATGACATTGTCCTAGTTCTCGAGAGTATGACAAGGGCAGACATGGCTGATCTGGCAAAGTCCAAAATGGGACAAGTGGGCCATGTTCGTTAAGAATGAGGGAGTCTGCAAACACCACGTAGGAATGCACGTAGACCTATGCTGACATTCATCCAGGCACTCTGGGGTCTTGGTCCATGGCAGAGTGGAGTCACTCCAGGAATGTGCATGTAGCATGGGAGGAAAGCCCGCAACAGATTGTCCGGTCTGCAGGAGAGGGGAGAGCTTGCGGTTTCTATGGGCAATTGAACTTGCTCTGGTGATGGAGCTGTCAGCTCTGGTGCCAGCGCTCCCAGAACCTGTGTCTGTTGGCAGTGCCTATGGGGTGAATCAGTGCTCGGGAAAGGAAAATAGCCTAATGCGAATAAAGGAGATTCAGAAGAAATGCAAAGAGAAGGAGCGAGCCCGTGAGCACACCCAGCCTAAGCCTGTGAAGGCTCTGTGGAAATCCCAGAAATATGACAATGTGGAGTCAAAGGTGAAGGCCAAACTTCAGGTCAGTACCCGCTGAGCTCTTAACTCTTCAGGCTCCGGGATGCAGGTCAGGCAATGGGTCTGTGGGACACTGGAGATGCAGGAGCCCCAGACCCCATAGGTTTGAGGGCAACTCAGTGCTGAAACAGGGAGGGCAGATGCAATAGTGGGACTGTGTGCTGAACAAAAACATGTGGTGTGGATCCAGAGAGCAAATGCTGTAATAATCCTTGTCCTGTCTGGCCAAGTAAAGCCCCCCCCATGCAAGGGAAGCAGAGAAGAAAAAAATCCCATCACACCCCTGTGCCTGCAGGCTCCCACTTGGTCATTCGATTGCAGGGATCTAAAGGTGGTTCCTGGGGGAACGCAGTGCAGCCTTCACAGCATATTCAGTGTCTTGAGGTGTATCCAGCTGACTTTTCAACTTTACAGTGTTTGGGGCAACTCTTGTCTGGAGTTCATGCCAAAAGGCTGTGGTATGCTGCCTCACAGATCATGGTCCTCACCATTTCTGCATGGAATTGGGACAGAGTAGGCCTTCAGGCTGCTGGCTACTGAACTTCAGTCCAACTGTTTTGACTCTATAGACCCTCAGAGGTCCTGAGGGCCCTATACGTCCAGATTCTTCTTCAAGCAGTTGTCCCGGTGAATATTCACTGTGCAGTGGATGCATACAAACACCTACCCAGGCAATCAAGGTGGAGGGCTCGTAGCTCTAGCACCATCTGTGAGGGGGTGTGTACTTCTCATCTTCTGTACATGTGCTTGTAGGAGAAGGGATGTGGGTCATGCCTTGTTTTCTAAGTCTTTCCCAAGCTTTCTGTGATGAAACAGTTATGGCTCATGTTCTGCACACGTGCCTGGCTTTGTGAAGGTTTTGTTTTGCTTTGGTTTCTTTCGTTTTCTTTCTCTGAATACTCTTTTCTCCCTGGTGGCTTCCCTGAGCCTGAGAGTGTTCAAGTAGTTCCTCTGTCAGAGGGCCTTGCAAAATGTATGAAAGGGGCTGTCTTGGGTAGAAGGGTACCTGTTTGTAAGGATTGTAAAGTTAAGACCCACTGGGAGAGGTAAGAAAAGTTCCACTGCTATCTCTGTGTGGATCCATTTTGGGTGGATCATCAGTTTGGATCTGGGAAGCCTCTGTCATTCAGATGACCTCTGCCTTCAGTCATCCTCTTCCTTCAGCCGAAAGAAATAGACATTGTGGCTCCTAGTGTTATAGATGGTCAATTCTCTGCTGCACAGCTGAGGGCAGGGGTGTTGTGCCCACCCTCAGCCCTAGAGACCTCCCGCAGGTTCTTGGGGGCTCCCTTCCAGCTTCAGCCTCACATGAGAGATACCTGCTGAAGAAGGGGAAGTGCATGGCTACTGCTTTGGCTGTTAAGCAGTTGGCTCTCAGGAGTAACCTCTCCCTGTTGGATCCTGCATTCCCATTTGCTTCAGGATTGTCAGCTGCTCAGGAAAGGGCTTTGTTCCTCTGCAAGTCCCCAGTAGTCCTTCGTGGTCTCCTTCTCCTTTCTATCTTTGGCATCAGCGGCTCTGTGTGGAAAGGAGCCACACAGTGAGCTGCTGCTTGTGCAGACGGTAGGTGCAAGCTGGGTGATCTTCACTTATGCAAACCCTTCCTTGGTGCTCAGTAAGTGAGTTGGAGGCTTTCACCAAATCCCTCTCCATCCCCAGTCTGTAGCCCTTGGACCAGCTTTTGACCCTAAAAGTGTTATATATATTGACAACAATTGCAAAAACTGGCAAGATGATTTCCAAGTCAGTGGTTCCAAATAATACATCCCTTCTTTATAGTCTGCCACCAACCCACTCTGTGACATCCATGACCCTTTCATGTGGAAAGGAGCAAATCCACATGTGCTTTAAGAACATAAGCCTACAGTCTTGTTTGATGAATCCTTTGGGTTCAAGGAAGATTGAGATAATTTTTTCTCCTGTTCTGTGGAGAAGGGGATAGTTTATTTGCAGACAGTTTCTGCATGGTATATTACTAGTGCTTTGCAGATTCTTCCAGAGGGAGGTGGCAGAAGGCCCTGGTGCTGACTCATGTCTCTTTAACTGTTATTGCTGCCCTCCTAGAGCTAGTGTGTTCCCTGTGAAGGATCTTCATCTTCTATGGCGCTTCTGCTGAGAGAGTTAAATTGATTCTGTTAGGTCTTGATGTCTTATGTGGGGTTTCTTTTCTCTCACCTGTCCCTGTGGCTGTTAATTGTAGCAGCTTCTTTGAAAAGGGCTTTGACAGTGTTTTGGTACTCTCACGAAGGGAGAGAGGGCACACTGCACTCTGCCAGGACACTCCTGCTTAAGATCACAAATTTGTTTGGCTTCTAACCGACCGCACTAGTTAGAGGAACTTCTCAGTAACTTATCGGAGAGATCTGAGTCTCCTGGCTTCTCTTGAAAAAAGACTTTGGAGTATGATCAGGCTAGGCAGTGCTGAGGCATCGCCTACAGTAGCAGCCCGGTCCTCCTTACACCAGCATTGCTGGTATTACTGTTCTAGCCCACTTTCAGTCTTCAGAACTACCAAGTAACATGTACCAGGCAACAAGGAATCTTCCTTAGGAGGACTGCAGTTCTTTGATGACAGAGCAGTTGAGACTTTGAGTGTCTGCAAAGTCCCTGAAACTTCCAGGAGTTGAGCAGTGTCCTAGTGATATTTATCATAAGGCTACCCACTTGCCGCAACATCAACTTTCAACGTTCAGGTTTTGTTTGGGGGCTACCTGACAGGAAGTCTGCAACAAAACTGACTGCGACATCAACCAGTGTTGCATTGTGCTGATACTGATCACTGCTGTTGAAGATGCCTCTGAGATACAATTCCAACCTCCCCAAACCACCAGACTGACTCACTCTCTGCTCCTGTTTTGAGCCGGGCACCTTTCTGTCTAGAATAGGATAACCATAGATTTGGGGTGCTGAATAGAGGGAACCTTGAGGACAGCATCTAACCTGTGCGTCTGCCAGCTTCATGCCTACCTCATTTCATTAAAGTTTGCTATAGCAGGCGGCTTTATGGAGGAGGGATGGTTTCTTCTGAAAGTTCAAATTCTGTAGCATTGCCAACTAGGGAGACTGGTATGTGTCTCTGAACTTTCAGAAGACTTACTTCACACTGCCATTTACCCTTTTCACAGAAAGATTTCTGCTTTTTAAGGAGTCATGATCACTGTCAGTTTGCATTGTCCCCACCATTGAGATTGTGCCTAGCATTGGTAGGTGTCTCTCTTGGGTCATTTGGTGTTGCTGTCTTTCCGTACCTACAGTCAGTAGAAAGGGACTCTCTGGAACAAATGTCAGTGCTTTGCACACATGGTCTGCATGCTTGTTTCTGTAGCTTTTTTTTTTTTCTTTTTTCCTTTTTTCTTTTAGTGTTCCTTCACGAAGCTCAGTTGACAGGTCCAAATTTGATGCTGTTGGTGAAGTCTGTTTTGGCCTTTGCTGGCTATGATTTGTATATGGATTGCCTTCCCCCAAGAACTTCTGCCAAACCGTGGCAGAAAGGATGTGCTGTCTTCTGTCTGCTGGAAACTTGTGGTTGAGCTTGCGGTTGACCACCCAGACTTTGTTGAATGGGTTTCTCTTTGCTCCAGCATCCCTCCAGTAGCATAACTTTTCTCACCTTTCCTAGGAAAGCTCCCCGCCTCCAAATCCAGAGGCTTTGAAATTCCTGAGGGCATATTCTCGATGTGGCCCTGGGATCAAGCCATGCAGGCCACTGTCTCCAAGCCTTGCCAGAACAAAAGCAGGGGCAGGCACAGAGGCTCCAGAGGCACTAGGTGCCGAAGCCAAGGTGAGTTGCATGCTGACTGCATGCTCCCAGGGTTTCTGGCACTCACCTATTGCTCCTGCTTTGTACTTTTCATGTGTTCCTTCTAAAGCACTGGGTCAGATGCGCTGCATGAGCAGGGAGATCTGTAAATGCTGTTTCTGGCTGGCTAGAAGGAGCAGAACCTTGACCACAAGGGTGCTGAGACAGGGGTTCATGGATTGCTATTACTATGCTCTTGCTTCTTCCTTGCTCATGATTAAAGAGAGTCTGAAATTTCCTTTGAAAATCTCACCTCCTCACTTTAGGAGTGCCAGTGATCTCACATCTACTTTTCCTAGGGCTTTTCAGGAGGCTCTGACTACTCAGATGGGGTTGGTTGAGGAAATGTCCAGCCTACTGTAATAAACCTGCAGTTCAGTGTCTTGTACAGGTGCCTATCTAGTTGCTTTGTCCCTTGTGGGGGCAAGGGCAGCTACGCGAATGTGTCTGCCCAGTGGCCCCCGCTGCCTCCCTCTCTCTCCTTTCAGATCCAGGTGGAGGGCAAGAGCATTGACTTCATTAAACACAATGCCCGCAATGCCAAGCGGGCCCCTTTGCGGCGTTCCCAGTCAATGCAAACCCTGGCTGAGCTGCTGGAACAGAAGCACCGGGAGCAGGAAGAGTACAATACCAAACAAAAGGGCCACGTCCCCCAGTAGTATGTATACCCCAGTCAGGTCCACGAGACTTCATGTAACAAGCCTGACTCTTCCCCTTGTCCCCCAGCTTCCACATAGATAGAAACAGGGGAATGAGTGTGGGAGTGTCTCTTGCCATATGCTAGCAGTGCAATTTTGCTGTGGCCCGGGGAATATATACAATCCCTGCTGGTTTCCTGACTTAACAAGTATCCCATGGCCAGCGTGACTGGGCTCGGAAAGAATTTGGTCTCCTCCTCCCAACTTTTTGTATGTTGATGCTAGCATGTGGATGCTCTGTGAGCTCTGAGAAATATACTTCTTCCTGATTGTAGACATTGCTCCATGCGACATAGCTTCGATATTAGAAGGTCTGCTTTCAGAGAGGCAGATAGCTTGCTTTGCCTCGCAAGCGTTCATCCTGCCTTGCACCCGGAGTCTAAGGAAATTCAAGCCATGAATTTGCTGTGTTTTGGGGTTCTAAGTAAAAAAAGGTTCTGTGTCCCCTAGCAGCTCCTGGGTGACGCTACCCTAGGACTGACCACTGTGTCAGTCCTTTGACTCTGCCGCATCTGCCGTTCCTACAGCGTTCCTGGCTGTAAGCCACTTCATCTGAGTTCATTCCATCATTTGCCCACGGATGCTTTTGAGAGGGCTCAGTGGCTGGGTCTGGAAGCAGGGAGCAGGAGCTTTTGCCTCCAAGGAGTCCAAATGCAGCCTAAGTTTGCGTAGGCTAAATATAAAGGTGTTTCCCTTTATGGCAAGGGCATGTGCCAACATGGTGGGTGGGGTATGGTCTGTGCGTGCTGGCAGCATTGATCTCCGAGTCCTAAGAGAGCAGCATGGGGAGTAGGAGGCTTCGGAGGGCCCAGTTCCCAGCCTCTACCTGTTTCCCCTGGGCTGCCCTGCCCTGGGTGACCCTCCGTCCAGATGTGCCAACACGTGCTCTTGTTCTGCCTTGCCAGCCTTTTGGAGAGGAAGGAGCTGTGGCGCAGACAGTTGGAGGAGCAGCAGCGAAACCTGCCAGATCCTGACACGCCGCCTGGCCATACCATGATGCCTGAGGGCCAGCGACTGGAGACCCTCAGCAATCTGAAGCAAAGTAAGAGGAAAAGAAATAGGAATTCTAGCTCAGAAAAATAGGAGCTCCTAGCCAGGATTAGGGAGGGCAAAGTCCTGGGGCACAGGTTTGCCACCTGATTTTCTTCCCCCTGAAGAGTTGTCCAGAATAAGAGCTGTAGCTGGGATGTTGCAGAAATAGCCGTACTTGAACTGTGTGTGTGCAGAAAGATCAATCCCTTTCAGCTTGGTAGGGCTTGCAGGTTACGGGACTGGCTCTCTGGAGTGAGCTTCGCCCGATGGTCCTGATGTTAGAGTTTCTCTTGCTCTTAAAAATCTTAGATTTAGGTTGGAAGGACCTCCAGATGTCTCTAGTCCAACCCTTGCTCAAAGCATAGCTTCTGCAAAGTTAGAGCAGGTCTCTTTGGGCCTGATCCAGCTGTGTTTTGAATCCAACGATGGATATTCTCTCTAGGTCCTAGTTCTACTGCTTCCAAGTTCATAGTGTTTGGACAAAAATGACTTTCTTTGCTCTTCCACTTACAGAGCTTTCTTTTTCCTTTTTTTGCAGGCCAAGAGCAGCTGGTGAAGGACCTGGTGATGCTTCCAGTGCGTGCGGACACCCTCAGCATTCAGAAGAGGCGGATGGAGTTGGAGAGGAAGCTATCCCAGATAGAGGAGGCCCTCAAAATTTTCTCCAGGCCCAAGGTCTTCATCAAACTAGATTCCTGAGCCTGTGAGGGTTGGTGTGTTGTGCTGCTTTGTGTGAACACCCTTCATCGCTGGAGAAAGGCTGGTAGTCAGTTTGGGAGGGAAGAAGGCAAGTTCAGGACCCTGGGCCCATGCAGGTGCTGATACATTGTCTAACGTGCAGTCGGCATCTCTTGTTCACTCTCCAAGGTTGTGTCTCATCCCGGGGACAGGCAAGGAGATGGGTTAATTTACTGTCTCTGCTGTGCAGTGTGGAGAACAGTTGTTTCTGTAGTGCTTGACTTCTCACAGAGATCTGCTCTCTGTGCTCTTGATCCATGGGATGAATCTCATCACCTCTTATTTCCCTGTTTCTGGAAACTGGTAGGAGATCTCCCATGCTGCTGCCTCTGGGTCTGGTGCTCCTTGTGCCCCTTTCTCTCTTTAACTAGACCATGGGCATGGCTCGTTCCTGCCCATGGCAGGGCAAGTCTGCCAAGTCCATGGCAGACTTGGCTGCGCTTAGAGGCAGCCTGACCAGCTGCAGCTACAAAAAAAACGGGTGCTGCATGTCTGCCATGCATGCCCTGGGCCTCAGCGCTAAGCTATCCTGAGCACGCAGTTGGTGCCTGTGCAAGGACAGCTCAAGGGAAAGGGGCATAGTGTTCCAGTCCTTCCCTCCCAGGGAAGAGCTGGGGCGGCAGCGGGGGGATCTGTCGGTAGCCAACCCAGCAGGGTGTCTGTAGAAATCCTTCATTGTCCATGGAGCAGGATGTGCTCCAATAAAACATCTTGTTTCCATCCATTGATGTGTGTAGCAAATTGTAGTTCCAAGCAGGCTCAGCAGGGCCTGAGGAGTGGTGATGGTGGCGGTGGGCCAGTGGAAACCAGAAGCACTGATGTAATGCAACCGAGAGAAGAGCCATGGGCCCCCTGTGGGGAGGCTGTGGGCTGTATGTGATGGCAGCAGGCTCTGCAAGCCTGAAGCGGCCAGTGCAGTTAGGTCTCGGAGCGCTGGGATGTTGGGGTGGGACGCATTGGTGGACTTGTGAGTGGAGAAGCCAAACATGAGCAGAAATCCAGCCAGATCCCAGTCTTGAGGTGCTCAGGATACATCAGGGCAGGTGTCAGAGTGGAGGTGAGCTCGCTGCCTCCTTGCCATCAGATGCCATAGGTAGACATTTGCAGGCCTTTGCAATGATCCTGCTGCGTGAACCCTAAAAGGATTTAAGCTAGAAGGGATCTCTAGAGGGTCCTAGTCCATCTCCTACTCAGAGCAGGGCCAGCTCCACAGCTAGATCAGGCTGCTCAGGGCCTTGTCCAGCTGAGTTTGAAAAATCTCTGAGTATGGCAATCTCTGGGCCTCAGTCCCAGGGCTGCACCACTTTCATGGGAAACACTTTTTTTTCTCCCGAAGTCCCATCAGAAGTTCCCTTGTTGCAACTTGTGCCAGTTTCCTCTTGTCCTTTCACTGCTTGGGGAGGGGGTGAATGTTGAACACGGTATTCAGATGCAGCCTCCCAAGTGCTGAGTGAATGGAAATAATCACTTCCCTTGACCTACTCGTAGTGCTCTTACAGGGCAGCCCAGGTGCAGTTGGCCTTCACCACTGTGAGGGCACACTGCTGGTTTGTAGACAACTTGACCTCTACCAGCTCTCCCAGTCCTTTTTGCAGACCTGTTCCTCAGCCAGTTGCCCCAACCTGTCGTGTTGCATGGGCTTATTCCATCCTCAGGGCAGGATTTCGCATTTCCCTCTGCTGAACTTCATGAGGTCCTGGTTGGCCTTTCTTCCAGGTAATTGAGGTCCCTTTGACAGGCAGCCTTGTCCTACAGCACACAACAATTAATTGTTTTCTGCAGACGAGGTGGTGGTGGTGCACTCAGAGCTTTTGTCCCCGTCCCTGGTGAAGATGTTGAACAGGATCTGCCCTAGTACGGACTTCAGCTGAGCCTGCTTGCTCAGAGCTGTGGCTCAGGCTGGCCAAAGAGAAAGAGGGAAATTCTCTTTTCTATAAGGATGGGGAACAGGCATGGTGCTGGTCACTTAGCTATTGCTCTTCAGCACTTTTCTAGATGCTGCTGGGCTTGAGGGGGTGGGAATCTAGAGCATCTCTATGCCATGACAAGCAGTCTCAGTGCAGGGCTGTTGCAGACGGGTCTAACTCTGCTCGCAGCCTCTTTGCTGATGCTGATGCTCTGCGGTTCCTCGTGCTCAGCAGTGCCTGGTGCTCTGTGGTGCCCTGGTACATCGAGGAAAGATGCTGCTGCCAACTGCAGCTGAAGCTTTCTGGGCTTGAAAGCTGGAGAAGGCAGGATGCCAAACTGGAAGAAGTGCCCCCAGCTCCTTTGAGGCTGTCCTCGTGGCAAGCAGACCACAGCGAGAGTGGACTGTGCTAGGTTAGAGCTGCGGTTAGAGCAGCACCAGCCCTGCTGCTGGGCAGCCTGAGGGCCATGTAAATGAGCCCCCGTGTACCTCCCTGCCATAACCAAGTCTGGCTTAACCAGCTTTGCTGTCTGGTTTGCTCTCTTGTCTGTCTGGGGCCTGGTTCAGTGTGCTGTGAGCATCCCCCCCCCTCCCCGGTACAACAGCTTGGCTGGCTGTCCCGGACTTGGAAACCCTCAGCTGTCCTGTTTGGGGGGACTGGGGCATGTGGCGCGGCTCTGAGCCTCAGTCCTCTGTTGGGCTTCTAAGATCCTGCATGCTCCAGGTAGGACTGGGGCCTGGGCTGCTCTCCAGCCATAGTAAAAAATGAGAATCAGTGTAGTCCCTTCAGGCCCTGAAAGCTGCAGGTCTTCCATGTCCCATGCTCTTACGTCCCACCATGGGCTGTTGGCAGTAGCACCCGCAAAGAGACCCTGTGTTTGTAGGGCCCTCCGGCAGGGAGAGCCAGCCCACTGGGATGATTCTCAATAAATTGATGCAATGGCTTCCCATCCAGCTGCTGGCGAGGCGAACCAAGGGGTTCATGGCAGGAACCCGCAGGCAAGGCTGGGCAAAGGCTGCATTGCCACAGTAGCCAAGGAGGGCTGTGGTCCAGACCCTGGGACGAGGAGCTGCATGGGAGGTGATGGATGCAGTGCCTGGGGAAAGCCACATCCCCAGGGACATCACAGCCAGGTGTGCCTCCACCTGAGCTGCAGCTGTTTGGGAAGCTCAGCCTGTACGGCTATGAGTCAAGCTGGGGATGCCATTGGGTTAGCCTGGGCAGCAACTGGACTCACTTTGCATAGGCTTTTTAAGCAACTGGGAGAGCCCTTGTGCAGTGAAGGGATCTGACATCCCAGCTGGCTGCCCTTGCGCATCCTGCCTGCATGTACCCTGCTCAGGCAAGCAGAGTGGAAAAGTACTGGGCTCACATGATCCTTACCTGCAGACCTGCTCCTGGAGCTTGAATCTGGGCCACTTCCCTGGCAAATGTGGCCAGTGGCCATCCTCCTGTTTCCCTTGCTGTGGCAGGCCAGCTGACCATGGCAGCTGGTGGCAGTGGAGGGCAGTGATGGGCCTTGATGCAGATACCTAGATGGTGTTGGGCCTAGATGCAGGTGTTGTGTGGCTAATGCTGCAGAGGGTATGGAGAGAAAGTGCTGAAGGACCACAGGGCCATCCAGCTATCATCTGGCCAGGCCTGCTTCCAGGTGTGAGAAGGAAAAGCCACCACTGTTATGAGTCTGACTGGCCTGTGGAAGCGCTTGCCCCACTGGGTTCTTGCTCCAACCCATGTCTCATCCTCCTTGTAGGCAGGGAGCTGCTTGGAGGAGCAGTTGCTATAGCTCCTCTGTTGTCCTTGGGCTGGGCCAGGCTGGCAGCAAAGCTGCAACTACAGCCTGGCAATGGCCCATGCCAGCTGCCACTGCCCATTAGCCTGAGGCTTAGGCACAGGGCCCTGGGAGAGAGAGCGTAAAGGTGCTGGGATGCTGTGTGAGCTGTCCACCGAGTAGTCAGCACATTGCAGCAGGGACAAGGTGGGACTGGGGTAGGTGAGGCTGTGTCAGATAGCATGCCAGGCTTGCTGCCCAGGACAGCCTGGGCCCACACCGTGGGACAGGGAAGGGACGTGGCCCAGGGTCCTCCCACACCCCTACTCCTCCCTGCAATGGGCCTCTCTGAAGCATCCTGCTGGTGGAGGGGGGGGGTCACCTAGATCCAGCAAAGGGGCCGGGGCGGGGGGCCACGTAACCCCACTCCTGCACTGTGGTCACAGCTCTTGGCCCTTGCTGTGCAGACATACGTGCTGGGTGCCCCTCCAGCAAGGCTGCAGGATGGCTTGGGTCCCTAGCTGCTGTCCCCCACATGGGGAGCTCTATGGCCCTTCTTGCCAGAAAACATGCATTGAGTACACAGGCAGTTGCAAGACTTGTAGCAGAGCCAACAGGCTCCCAGGGGACAGACCGTGGGCCAGGCCAGCCCCGTCTCCCAGCGCCGAGGCTGACTGCTGTCCTCGAGAGGGCTGTGCCATGGCCCCATTAGCCCCAGGGCAGCTGGGCTCAATGGGGCCTGACCCCTGCAGTGAAGTGAAACACGGACAAGTGGGAGAGCTTTCTAGAAAAGGTTTTACTGTCCATTGCAATATATTAATTGATGATGCATATTTTGATAAAACAATTTAAAAAACCAAAAAACAAAAAAACATTTGTTTGGAAGAAGGAGGAGAGGGAGGCCTGGGGGAGCGGATGGGCAGTGCTTGGCCCGAGCAGGAAGCGCAGCGGGGCTCCCTGGGGGCATGGGTGCTGGGGGAGGGCAGGGGGGCAGCACCGGCTCTGCACCATCCCCAGCAGCCCCTGTCATTGCCCTGGTGCCCACAAACAGTCCGGCAGC